TTAATAATTTATATTTATGAAAATTTTAGTTTTTACCCAAAAAGAAAGTTGTCGGATTAAACCTCGATTTCCAATAAAAATGAATTTTTTTGATATAATATAATATATATAAAATGATAACTATTATTTATACATAGTGATGGTTATAATGAAAAATTAATAATACTAGAATCTGTGTCATATTAACCAACACGCTATGTAAGTATTGACATTATTTAATGTAGWCATTGGAAGTAGTATAATATGTTACCGGCAAAGATGTAAATTAACGTTAGACTAGTCAATAACGATATTTCCGATCAAATTAGACAATATACAATATTGACTGGAAAATAACGTTTATGTGCATTATTTTCAAGCAATGGTACATTTAGAAATATTGTCTAGATTATGACGATAATTCGGGGTGTATTCAGACATACCAGGTAATATTTAATAGATTTATCTATGATCAGTAATAACAATAACTATATAATTTCCATCCAATTATTTGATGGTTGAACATTAGGTAGGTATATATTAATTAAATATTTCAATCGGATCCATCTGTCATCTAAATTGTAAGAACTAAGAATACAATATAGGTAAATCACGATATCTTATTTGTTATAATAATTAAATAAATTATAATATTTGTATTGACGCACGCTTACTAGTAAATTGCATATTATTATATTGTGTATTTAATATTTTAGTATATCTACCTATAGTATACCTACCAAACTTTAGGGTGCAYACTACATCAAATTGTTAACATCAATATTTCAATTTATTTTATTTGTGTAGTATCATGCATAGGTAATTGATCACATATTAATATATTATTACATTTCTGACCCAATTAAAAYAGTTCACTACACAAAATTATCAACATCGTCTATCAATATTAGACATTAAGATAATTTTCTAATCATAGTAGTAAAAGTGTTAGCGAATTTATTTTTACAACATTGACTATGTTGTCAGTTAATGCCTAGGCATTGACGATATAGTCTAATAATGTTAGGAGTTCAGGATATAAGCTAGGGATTTCCGTTAGCAGCTATACTTACGTATAGGTACAATTGCATAACCATGTTGAATAACTTAAAAAATTAATTAATATGTTTGTTTGGATAAAAAATTATAACATGTCTGGGAATCAATTTACGTATGTGACGTTGAAATCAACAGTGAAACAAGTTATTTTAGGAAAAAAATAATCCGAAAACGCTCTTTAATTATAAGCAATATTTTGATTCTGGATTAGAATATTCTTTGATTAATGTTTCTATTGTTTTTCAACGAACAAAATTGTACCTAGTTAATCGCACCATCAACAAATCGTAGTCATATAAGTCGATTAAATAAATAAATAAGGGAATTCATTGAAAAAAAATGCTTGAATCTTTCAATAATACCTTTCAGAACAAAAGAATAGAAAATCGTCAATTAATAAAAACTCCCATCTCTAGATACACCCTGATTCGTACATCTTCATTTAAATTCAAGTTGTAACACAATTTATAATTGAATATTGATTATTATTTATTACTTATTACATTGATTATAAATACTAGTATTTATAATCAATGCTTATTAGTTATTAGTATATAGTATACAGTTTACCGTACATTGCACAGTAGATGGCACCATGGTCGTGGATATTGTGCGATTTGGGTCGTTAGTCATAGACCGTCTGAATGACACTGCCCTCCTGTTTGACACTACACTACGGCGGATTATTGGAACCGCAGACAGTGTGTAAAGCACGGGGTTTACCGCCGCATTCAAAGGCAATACGAAAACAGCTACCCAAGCAAACACCTAAAAATATAAAATATATCATTTGAGCCGTTTATGTGGATTAAGATGAGCTTTGCGTTTCAAATATTTTGATGAAAATAAAAATAAATATTTAAATACATTTTAAGTAAATGTTCAAATTATAGACTATGCGTAAATAATAAACATCATAGCCATGTCTGTATATTAATCATAATATATTTATATGAATAATAACGATAGGTATAATATTTTGTAATGATACTATATATATCAAGGATTGGGAACCTTTCATATAGGAAAGAGCCACTTTTTTAAAAAGTTACTAAACCATGATGTCCAAATAGCCTCWCAAGTTTGAACAACCTTTTTTTAGTCKTAGTTATAGTATTATTATATCATTGAAAAATTGGAAGACATTAAAAACAGAATAATACGTCTTGAAACTTAAGAATCCTAGAACTTCAGATTGCATGTTAAGGAGCTGCAGATTCCCGACCCCTGGATATATATATATATAACTTATCATATAATAAGTTATTTCAGTTATTCAATAATCAATATTCGATTCGGAGAACAGACAGTTACAGCGGTGGCCAATTTTCTTACAGAATTGTGAAGACAAAAAATAAAAAGAAGATGTGTATATAGTGAGGTGGTCGTCACTCTTCACTTATTTTGATGAAATGTACTATATACATATATATTATATACACAATATATGATTAAATTAATTGCGTTATATATTTTTACTTGTGGGTGTACGGTGAATCCAGCCAAAGACCATAATCCTAATCCTATGATGGGCACCCAGCACGCGGCGTCCGTAGCCACCAATAGACTCATTCGCCAGGCCATCGCAGACTCGCTGAGGGACCGGTGTCTGATTAGGGTCTCAGTGGCGCGATGAGTCATCTTGGCAACGAAAAACATCCAAAGGTAGCTTCCGGATATCAGCAGCAACGATCCCAGATTGACAACTAAAACCCATTCATCGAATTTGTACATGAAAACGGTTAGGTGAATTATTACATATAGGTTCGTAGGTATAACCACAGTAAAAACGTTTAAAAATAATTAAATAAATAGATGTAACGTTTACATAAAAATATGAATACAGAATATTCCCATCCATTAGGTTTGTCCGGAGTAATGTGCAAAGCTAAACACACGCCAGATCGTCCATAAAAATTTCTGAAAAATTAATAATTAAACCATAGATAAATGCATACTACATAGTACATAGGTATATTATGTATATATATATATATATATAATATATATATATATTCTTTTACAAAAAAAATAAAATAGTACGATGGTTGTACTATATATTGTTCTGGTGACAAAAATTAAAATTATGATGATTTTCTCAATATAGTATAGTTACCTGAAATAATGAATGTTGAACAGAGGAATAGCAGATATAATTATTGCTAGTAACCAACACACGGCCATCAGTATGCGCGTAAAATCCATTTCCAAACGTCGAACTTTGAACGGAAATATGATTACCAACAATCTTTCCAGTGTGATCACTATAATATACTTTGAATATATTATAACGTAAGGCATATCTTATAAATAAATAATACACAGGTCTTATTGTACAAATAATCAATCAATAATTATAAAACGCAGAGTTTATAATAGATCCTTTCAGCTATTGATTTTTTTTTTAACTCACTTAGAAAACGAGAGGCATAACTGTAAAATTCTTACGAAATTCAAACTCAATAAGAATAATAACATTGTTCTTCAGATCACTATTTCTTAGAAAATATTTTGTATAATACTGTTTATACTTCGTAACCGATTCAACCATTATTTATTTAGCATGTATTTTTAGCTTATAATTATATTTGCTAAAAATMAAAACCTAAAGATATGTTTTTGTACAATAAATTAAAATGTCTCCAGTTAATTAAAAATGTGTTTATTAATTTAAGCTTCGAGTAATATTAATTTTGACTGTCATGTTTTCGTTATCTTTTAATGCATATAAAAATGTATGGGCATTATAGTGATTACACACTATATAGTAAATAATAAATATATAAGTAATTTTAAATATTTTAATACACTAAATGGATATTTCATAGTATTTTTGATAATTAAGTATACGGCTGTTTTTAATTAAAAATTAACAAACATATATTATTTAAACATTGAGTTTAAATCATTTTAATGTGAAATGGTTCAAATTWTATCACCACTGGTACTGGAGTATATATTTTAATGCAACACGCAATACTTCACCTGTGTTACAATTTATAACACATTCATTCTAAGCATTTCGATAGAATGAATGATTATTTATTTT